ATACGATATATTTTTGTCAAAATTTTATGATATCTTTAAATTTATATTTTATTTAAAAATAAAAACATAATCATTTTTTCAAAATCACATAAGACCATATTATAACATCGACTGAGATAAAAAATAAAATAAAATATTAAATCAAGATGTATCTCGTTGCATTGCACGAGTACCCTTCTAGTTTACTTAACATGTATAAGAAATAGTTTTATAGAGACGAATAAGATAATGAAAGTATATGTAAATGAAAAAGTACGTGGTGGTATAATTATCTAGTGTACATATTAATAAGGACTTAACAATCATATTGAATACAAAAAAGACATCGGGTCATCGGGTTGGATTCAAATGACCGTAACCTAATTTCAACCCAATACATACTTTTGAAGATTTTACAACTCGATTAAACATCGAGTTGCTTCAGGTTGGGTTATTTCACGTCGGGTTGGGTTGGTCGGGTTTTTGAGCACCCTTAGGGACGATGACCGATCTCCCTCTCTCCTCCACTCTATTACCAAACTTCTCCTCAGGAGGATAGATGGGGCGATTCAGGTGAGATCCAATGTAGATCCAAAAAATTGATCGTATTTGAGCATTTATGCGGCCAAACATAGCTTACAAATTTCATCGTATTGTGCTCTCCAGAGAGTAGGGGTGAGCATAGGCGGGTACCCGCCCTTTTTGACAGGAACCGGAACCGGCGGTTCTTGAGATATTGGAACCGGAACCGGTTAGAGTGGTTCTTGAATTTTTGGAACCGGAACCGCCGGGAACCGGGTGCGGTTCCGAGTATCCGCTTTCTAAAATATTAAAATTTTGTTATTTAGAAATAAAAAATAAAACATTGCCAAAACACTAAATTAAATAAACAAGAATACAAATTATACGGAATAATGGTTACAAATATTGTTTAACGATTATAAACCATAATAGACTAATAKAAAATRTTCAAAGTTTAACGATTACATACTATAATTGTAAATGTTCAAAACTTAACGATTACATACTATGAAGTGTAGTTTAATAGAACTAGAAAGTTGATGAAAAATGAAGATGACCACGTCCTTTGAAGATGTAACATAATATACATTTGGTATTAAAAAAAAGTAATTATTTTTTTATTGAAAAACACTGGGTACCCGCCGGTTCCGGTTCAGGATACCCGGTCCCGGAACCGGTTCTGGCGAGTACCCGGCGGGTAACGGTTCCGAAAAATTAAGAACCGGAACCGGAACCGTTCTCAATCGGTTCCGTATTTTAGGAACCGGAATCGGAACCACTCATATCGGTTCAGGTTCCGAAACCGGCGGTTCCAAGGCGGTTCCGGTTCCGCAAACGGATACCCGGTTCCGCTGCTCACCCCTACCATAGAGCAACTCTTCTCAAACTATTAACAAGAATAGAAACTGCGACAGTTAAGAAATTACAGCATATACATATACGTAGAAACACATGTAGGTATAGATATATAATACTACAATAAAAAAACATGATCTTTTAATAAGATAAAGACAACAAGCGTAAAAAAAAAAGACCCAAATACCCTTAGAATGTTTTCTTATGTTCAACTATATAAAATATTTTAAAATTTTCGTATTTAATCGGTTTTATTAATTAATATAATTCTAATAATCATATCTAAATATAATTATAAATAATATAAAGTGAATAAATAATTAGAGTATTCGGATAACCGGTTGAAGACTAATTTTAGACAACGTACTTTCAAATTTTTTTATTTTGATATCTAAGATGTAAAGTTTTAAAAATTAAAGTATTTGGGTAACTGGTTGAAGACTAATTTTAGATTAAAAAAAAATCATGTCACTAACCACGCCAGCAAATAACACTGAGTTGGATACCATATTACTCGCCACATCAATATGATAACCGGTCAAGGCTTCAACCGTTTACCCGAGGTACTTACATTTTTAAAACTTTACATCTTAGACTACCAAAATGAAACTTTTAAAAGTACTTTATCTAAAATAAAAATCAAATTAAAATAAGTTAATTTTTCATGCAGTTTGTCTTATATTTAATTAATAAAAAGAAATTGTATACATATTTTTTTTTAAATTTACGGATTTTTGTAATTTCCCTTTTATAATTTTTATCATATAAACTTTTATACAACCACGGGTTTCTTGGTAACTCAACTTTTATTCAATTATATAAATTTAGGAATTATTGAGAATAATTTATATAATATATATATATATATATATATTGTATTAATATAATTAAATAAAAAAGTTACCTAAAATAATTACATAATTAAAATAATAATATTTTCTCAATAAAAATTAATATGAATTTATATAAATTTTAATTGATTTTTATAAATAAGAATATAAATGATATGAAGCTGAAATTGAGCCTGAAAAGTAAAAAAACGCATGAATTTTTTTATTGTAAATTGTCTATTTTATTGATTATAAAATTATAATATTGAATTTATAGATAAATTAATACAATTTCACATATTTATTAATTAGCATTCATTTAAACGAAAATATGTCATTAACGGTATTTAACACATTTAAATCCTATTAAAATACACCAATGAGAGATGTGATGATCGATTTGGTAATGGTCAATTGAGAGAAATGATCGATTAAAGTTAATTGATTGAGAAACATCGTTATTAAACGTTTCGAGAACAATAAGATGCAAATAACAGAATGGTTTGCCTCTTACCAAATAAGATGACAATAAGATATAAGTGCCTATGAAAAATTGAAAAAAAACAAACAAACAGTCTGAATGATCATACCTCCTAACGAATCAGACATAAGAGACTGTTAAAAGTTTTTTTTTTTTCAAAAAACAAACAAAGCCTAAATCTCTAAAAACATGTACATCAAACTCCAACGGTTACTTTATTTTAGAGATTCAAACATTTATTACATTATTAAAATATTAAATACATTTAATATAATATTAATTTTCTATTGTATACAAATAATTTCAATGTTTTCTTATTGGTGAGAAATAATTAAATATCAGTTATTTTTTTTACACACAAAGTTTCCAATTTTAAAAATTTCCACCATTTCTCTTTTGTTTTTTAGGATATAATATAAAATGCTTTTTGAACAACAGTGTATCAGAAATCTCCATTTTATCACAGTTGTTAGAGCTGTTCTAAGTTATTAAGTTGACAATGATTTGTAATAAAAAACTAAATAAAGACCTTAAAATTTTATAAACCACATTGGTGAAATCTCAAAAAATATTACTTTTCATTTTTTTTACATCATTGTCACCTCAGTAGTATAAGAACCAGTAAAACTCCACAACTAAGAGCATCCACAATGCATTTTTTTGGGATTGCTTATTTGAAACAACTTATACTTTTCTACAAAAGCACTTATCAACTTATTATAAGTTAGAAGAGTTTAACTTTTTTTAAAACTTGTTACTACCGGGTTGGCACCGGTATAAGTTATTGATCCAAACACTCAAAAGTGCTTATTATCGATGTCACATCATAATAAGTCAATAAAATGTTTTTACAAACAATCACAAACACCCTCTATATATAAACCTATTATTATAATATAATATATGGAGTAAATTACAAACTTGGTCATTATGGTTATATGAAGATTATAGATTGAGCCCCTCAAACAAAATAATTACAGTTATGATCATTGTGGTTCCACATTTGTTACATATGGGTTCTTTGACCTAACTCCATTTACCTAAGATCAGTTAAAGATATAACTGGTCTTTTCATTTTTCACTTATTTTCGTACATAAATAATATTAATGTAATTTATAAATTTATTTATATATTAATGTAATATTTAGGAGATACATCGTGTGGGAATGAGAGTTAATGTGAGAAGCGTAAGAAAAGGATCCGGACCCTTGATCACCTTTAATCTCAAACCCACCCATGAATCACGCTTGATACAAGAATTGATCCGATGCATCTCATCCGAATGTACATCCAATAGTGGCAATCCCTTCTTACGCTTCCTCAACTGAACTCTCTTTCTCATGGGAACACAACCGATAATATATATATATATATATATATATATATATATATATATATATATATAGACACATAATTCTTAATATACTCTCCCACTTCTCTCCTTTTGACGATCCTCAATTCCTCACCAATAGGGGTGTTCATGGGTTTGAGTTGATCAGGTTGAAAACATTTGAACAACCCAATCAAATGTTTGCGGTTTGGAAAAATCTTATCCCATCAAAACCCAACCCATACGGGTTGGTCGGGTTGATACTTTTGTATATATTAAAATATTTTTCTAACATAGAATATGTTACTTCTCTACTCATAATTTATTTTTCATCATCAATCATTTGATACAACTTACTCATACTTCTTACGTATATCATATTCAGTTAATTTTCTCAATTTACATATATATGTTCACAGTTACTGAACATATATACGAATGAGTTATATAAAGATGTTAATAGACTGAAAATATGTATATAGGAAGAACATACATGATAGTGTAATTGTCTAATGTACATATTAATATAAATTCAACAATCATATTAAATCCAATAAATAAAAGAATATCAGGTTCATCGGATTGAGTTGTATTCAAATAATAATAACCCAATACATACGGTTTGACAATGTTACAACTCGATTAGACATCTGGTTGAGTTATTTCGTGTTGAGTTGGGTTGGTCGGGTTTTTGAGCACCCTTACTTATAACGAAATACGAACCATAAGGATGCTCAATGTAATTATTTTGAAATAAGAGACGGGATTCAACTCTGTAACAAACCACAGGGACCAGAAGTGTAATTTACTCTAAAATGTAACTCTCACCGTCATCTTTACTACAGAAAGATACCAAAAATCAGCAATTGCTTACATGGAAAGCAGGAGGTTCGCATATCGACCAAAATTTTTGATTTTTTGCCGCGCTCATGGTCAAACCCAACCAATAGGTTCGGTTTTTGTCATTTATGACCTTCAATTCTTACCCACCTCTTTCTTTTACATAACCCTCAAATCCGAACCTACCTCTCTCTTTCCTCTTTCGTCAACAGTTTTGCTCCTGAAGATCTCCTTCGTAAGTCCTCCTTGTCCCTCTTTCAACTTTCTCACTAGCTTGCAAGCTGAATCTTTAGTCTGGATGGGTTTTTTCATACGGGTGTTTCGATTTTAACTGATTTCTGTATCTGGGTTTTTGATTTTGGAGGGATATTTGAAATTGAAACCTAGAAATTTGTCCAAATCAGAATGGACAAAAAGATGATGTAATAATCCCTTTTTTATGGTTTGAATAAGTATAAATTTTAACCCACCATTTCACATCAATATTGGGTCGATGTCGATGATATCAATGGCTTCTGGGGAAGGAACAAGTTTCATGTGATGTCTTTTTAATTTCCTTAAGATGCCAAATGTGCGGTTCAGATGACTTCTGATAGTCATCTGTTTTTTTTTAAAATAGACAGACAGGTGAGTTTCTGAGAATTATTATATCTATTAATCTTTGATGGGTTTCGTTTTTAACCTGAAAGGGAAATCCAATAAGTAGATTCATATATACAAGTTACAGACTGGGTTATTATTCTATTTCTTTGACTTCACTTCCCTTTGAAATAAAGCTGCTACTTTTTGTTCACATGCTAGAAGAAGATGTGAAAGAGTAGAAAACAGATTGCTTTATGGGCTTGAATCTTGATAATCCATCTAGGGTTTTAAGGGTCATTCTAGATTTCTCTTTTTTTCAATTGGAAGATGGAAATTGATCCATTGTTGAGGGATCTAAGCGAGAAGAAACAGAACTTTCGCCGGAATGTGGTCTCACTTGCTGCTGAGCTCAAGGAGGTCCGAACCCGTCTTTCGTTCCAGGAACAATCATTCGCTAAGGAATCTTTAACTAGACAGGCATGTGTTCTTGATTTCTTTACTCAATTCCAACTTGTTTTCTGAATGAATATTTGTAGATCTGATCCAATTTTTCCTAACAATTATATATATTTTCTACTACAGGAAGCAGAAGCTAGAGCTAGGAATATGGAACTAGAGATTTCTAGATTGCAGAAGAATTTAGATGAGAAAAACCTACAGCTTCAAGCATCATCATCGGATGCCGAAAAGGTTTGACTTTGTCTCCAACTTGCTTACAACATATGATTGAAGATGGTTAATGTAGAGTTGAAACCTTGATTTGATTTGATCTGGTTTAGTTTCTATGATTCAAATATGTTTATTCAAAGCAAAATTTTTAATGTCTGTTTCCCTTTGGCTTTTTGGTGCACTTAGAATAAGAATAGTTTCCATCTTTTTGGGTTATTCCACTTTATGGTTGAAAATGTTTGTCTTTTGCCAATCTTGAATAACCTGGAGGAGACACACACACACACACACACTCCAATAGTAAGATATAATATTTGGTGCCTTTCTTTCTTGATTATGTACCACTAGCTACTCCATATACATTTCCCTTTTTGTCCACATAGAATTCCTTGTGGGGTTTTCTAGATAGGATCAATAATACCTTACCTTTTTTTAATTAACCTGGATATCCAACCCACTATGCAAACCAACTAATCCCAGGGACCACCTGCTTATTTGAACCTCTGTGGCCACAAGAGGATCTTTATTTCTCCTTGGATTTGAACCTGGGACCTCCTGGTACTTTTGACCTTTGGAGCCAAGCTCAAACCAATCAGGCACCACCCTTGTGGTTAATAATACCTGACTTTTGAGGATGAGTAATGGTTGATCAATAAATAATAATACTTCCACAAACAGTTTTAGTATTGTGCAATTATTACACTTTTTAGTTAACAAAAGGACAATTTTACCCTTAATTATTGAGAGAGAGAAATTTTCTCCATCTCATAATCAAGGGTAGAACGGGAAAGTAAAAGTTGACACTTATTTTGAGACAAACTAAAATAGTATTGTAGACACGTATAACATTGGGACAGAGGGAGTAATCATATCAGTAAATTTAGATTCTTTTATTTCCAACCTTTTTCTTTTTGTTTCCTTCTTCTCACATCTTGATGATGAACCTGAAATAGATGTAACCTTTACTAACTTCACTGTTACTGATATTGGGAGGTGTCTTTTTCTCATTTTGATATGGTATTCCTGTTGATGATATATAATTTCTCTTTTGAATTCATAACTGGTATTAGCAAGAATTCTTGATTTTCCATTTTAGGAAAGGAAAGCTAGTTATTGTAGAAGAATATGCATCATATAATTGATTAGATTGTCTTAACAGACCAGCTCATGAAACCAACAGCTGAATCTTTTGCTTATTTATGAGTAGACCAAAACTTTCTATTTAAAACAGTCAACACAATGATTGTAAAGATATTTCAACTTATTTCTCAAGAGTTGTAATGGTAACAGTAGATCACAACTACTATACCCTTAGTTTAATGATTTGACACCCTGTGGCGTGTAGCTCAGTTGAGGTGACTTTGCCCTATACAAGAGATGTCTCAGGTTCCGTGTAACGCCCGGTTGGGGTTGCCTGTAATCAACTTTTTGCCCAAAAATTACAACCATTTTCTTGATTCTTTTTGTTGAATTTCTCGACTTTTTTTATTTTTATCTAAATGTATTATTCCACAGCTAATGTCGGTCAATAGATGATATATATATATATATATATATATATATACGTGGACCCAGAATGAGTTATTGAATCTGCATGGCCTTAAATGTATGTATATTCACAATTTATTAAGGGTGGTTCCACATTCTGTATTAAATGATCTCTTATTATATACCATTCTTGGTTTGACTTGTGCTTATCTATGATTTTGTGGTTACTAGCCCAAATCACTAGCTTTTTGACGTGTTAGGGCCTGTTTGTTAGCAGATTAATGAAACTCACAGCTTATTCGGTTGATTATACATGGTTGTTTAGTAGTGGCTTATTCAGTAAGCTTTTATTAGGGAGGTTTATGCAGAAAGCCAAGTTTTTTTTTCAAGCTTGCCCCTCCCAATTAAAAAACACCCTCCTTTCATCCATGAAAAAGCTCTTCCAAACAAAAATCTTCTCAATCTATACACAGGGACTTGACGGAAAACCAACCAAACAGCCCCTTAGACTCATGCGATTATGATTCTGGGTTTGTTAACCGTGATCAAGACTGTTAGTTAAAAAGCGAAATTAGCCGATGGTCTTGCAAATATATGTGTGTGTGTGTGTATATATATATGTATATGTATTCAGTAAACATGATTAATTTAACGATATGTGACATGGGTGTTAACAGTACCTACGGGACTTGGATGATCTTATGTCACAACTTTCATCCACAAAAGCAACAGCAGATGCAAGTGCAGCTTCAGCTGAATCTGCACAGCTTCAATGCAAGGCCCTGTTGAAGGAACTGGAACAAAAGAATAGGTCATTGAAAGAGCATGAGAGTCGAGTTAATAAGTTGGGAGAACAACTAGATCTCTTGCAGAAGGATCTTCAATCACGAGAATCTTCCCAAAAACAACTGAAAGATGAAGTCTTACGAGTCGAGCACGACATCATGCAAGCTCTAGCAAAAGCTAATCATGATTCTGAATTGAGGAGGATACTTGATGAGGTTTCACCTAGAAACCTTGACAACTTAGCCAAACTCTTATCAACCAAGGATGAAGAAATAGCCAAGCTGAGAGACGAAATTCGGGTTATGTCTGCACACTGGAAGCTCAAAACCAAGGATCTGGAGTCCCAAGTATATATTTACGTTTAATTAACTCGTTTTTATCACTAATTCACATATGAAGATAGTTACTTTTATTACTAATTCACATATGAATAAAGATTGTTTTTCATACACTTGCATGCATGTTACAGTTGGAGAAACATCGCAGAGCCGATCAGGATTTGAAGAAAAGGGTTCTCAAACTGGAGTTTTGTCTTCACGAAGCTCGGGCTCAAACCCGAAAGCTCCAAAGGGTAATCAAACAACTCCACCTACTTGTTGTATGTAAACCAAGAGTACTAGGTGTTTTTGGTTAGTTTACTTGTTGTCATACTGCAGATCGGAGAGAGAAGAGACAAAGCTTTGAAAGAAGTGAGAGACGAATTAGCAGCAAAGAATGGAGGTTCAGGTTGTGGCGAAAACCAAAATTTCTGGGAGCGGCCAGGGTTCAAGATCGGAGTATCCGTGTCGATGTTGATTCTGGTGCTGTTGTCCAAGCGGTAGGACCAGATAGCACCTATACAAGCATGTTGGTACTCTACAAACCTCGTGTCTACTAAGACGATACACGAGGAGAGTTTGATCATGAAAGGAAGAGGTGTTTAGATAGAGACACTCTGTTTATAAAAAAACCCGACCTGCTTCTTCCAATTTTCTGTATTTCGGTCACCATCATCGATGTATCAAAGGTTCTGGTTATAGCTAGTTTAAGTAGAGATGGCAAAGTTATGGCATCATCGGGTAATTCTTGTTCCGAAAAACGATGGTTGTTTTGGACTATGTAAGTTGATTGTAGAGTGGTCGGGGAAATCGTATTAGACTATGATTGTTTTCAAGTAATAAAGTGGTAAAAATATCAAGATCGTATTCACATGGATCAAGTTTTAGGGTTTCAGAGTATCCAAGTTGGTTTCAGAGATTGTTTTGGAAAAACTATTTGAACAACCTAATCTAATGTTTGCGCTTTGAAAAATCTCAACCCAACCCAAAATGCGGGTTCGTCGGGTTGAAACTTTGTTTGTTATATCATTTTACAGTCTAGTTAAGTGTTTGTGTTTAAACAATGTAAAATCAAAATGATAACATACAAAAAAGATTGACAAACTCAAAAAAGAAAGTTGAAGGTTCATGCAAATAAAAAAGAAAAATTACGGTTGATATTGTGACATGATTTTGAATATAGCTAATTATGGATTGGTCTAATGTCTGATGTATATATATATATTAATCAATAACTTAAAAATTATATTCAATTTATAGCATAGAAGTGCATCAGGTTCACATAATCCTAACCCAATTTCAACCCAATAAATATGGATTGACCTAATTTTGTATCAACCAACGTGATTATAAAAAACTTTCTCAAACCTTCTTGCATTGCTCAACCTGTATTTCAGAATCCACACATCTCTAAGTCTAGGACCTAATACTAACACTTTCAAGTGATTGGCTTATCTGCGTTGAGTTAAAACTTCAACTCGACTAACCAAGCTCAAGAGTTAACAACGATGGCAACACCTAAGTGTTGGTTACTACTCTTAGGTTCGACTCACACCCACACCCACACCCAAAGGAGTGCTTAGCTGATACTTAAAGTAAAAAAATTATAGTAGAAGAAAAAGAAATAGTTAAAAGTTACTTGCATAGATAATAAATTACAAACTATCGCTATTGTAGCGAGCATTGCTAAAAATTTAAGACTTTACAATAAATCACAACCACAACTATATAAAATGCAGAGAGAAATATATAGGAACAAAATGAAATAGGCGTGTTTCACTTCTGTCCCATGAAACAAAGTGAAACAAGTCTATATTTTACTAATATACCCTCAAAATAAGCCTAATTTTTTTTTTCTTTCTAAAACATTAAAAATATCTCATTCTTTATATTTTATCCATTATTTAAACTTTATTTATCGTATTTTATTCTTATTAAATTTCCAGTTTGTTGTGCTCAGAATATTATTTTTATACGTTTTTATATGCACGAAACAGTAACCTATTTTCATAAACTTCTTTATTATAGTATAGTACTTTCAGTTTTTCTTATTACAACAATGTATTTTCAAATTTTTTTTATCAAGGCACTGTAGATTGAAATTTTTTACTTATTATAACATTGACTAATATTTTGATTTTTTAATTACTCATTATATCAGGTTTCCATACCACTTCATTGTCCATATAGGTTGTCTACATGTACTATAGCTGGTGTGACATTTCTCATTACAACATTGTATTTTTTAAAATTACTTTATTATAGCATTTACCAGTTCTTTTTATAACATTGTACTTTTAATTTTAATATTTTATTATTTAGACATTGTACATTTAATCAACATGTTTACCTAATGGATGACCCATCGTTGTTTGTTCTCTCTATTGTCCATTGTCACCGTTGACCCCTACTTTCCATCTCCCTCTTTGTTTTGTTCTTTCGATCCTCCTTTTCTTACAACAATTTAATGGAGGGCATGTATACATATAAAAAGGATGGAAAATCAAAAAATGCAAAAAAAAAAAAAAGCGACATCGATGACAGGGGTCAGTGGCAGCGATGGGCGGTGATAGAGAGCAAACAATGATGAGGCGATGAGGGGTTTGAATGACGTAGATTGGGAACTGTAAAATCGATTTAAGTTTTTTTTTTTTTTTTTTTACTTTAAAACCTTTCTAGCTAATTTCATGTAGCTTTTTGGGTTAAAAGAATGTAGGTAACAATTTTTAAAAGAATGTAGTTTTTAGGGCTTTAATCATTCAAGATAGGAAAGTTTAATGGTTTTTTCATTAAAAAAAAATATTAGCAATTAAACCATTCAAAATAGAAAAAATTTAATAATTTTTCATTCAAAAAATAATTTAGGACTAAACCATTCAAAACTAATGATTTTTTTATTTAAAAAATAAATTAGTAACGAAACCATTTAAAATAAAGAAGTTCGTTGAGTAAATTTTCTCCCCTTTTTTAAAGAACAGTTCTGATCGTATATTTTGAAAAATTGTGTTATTAGTACATACAAATAGAAGGTTGAGTTCACGTGAGATAAATTTGTTTTTGTGAGATCACATTTTTATAATTGAGACTTCACAACAAAACATTTTAAAGATAAAAGAATCTGAATCTTCACAGCAAAAACATTGTAAATGTTAGCTTCACAATGTTTTGTTGTGAAGTTTCAAGTGTAAAAATATGTTCTCACGAGTTTAAATAAAACAAACAGATCTCATTAGTTACGTACCTAGGATTTTAGGTGAGCAAGGTTAGGGGTGCTCAAAATACCCACCAACCCGACCAACACAACCCAAAAAAACTCAACCGAGCTAACCCGATACACGATACAAAATTAGATCAATCTGCATCCATTGAATTAGAATTTTTTGAATTCAACCCAATCCGATGCACTTCTATACTATAGATTTAATATGATTTTTAAGTTATTGATTAAGGGGGTGTTTGGGATTGCTTATTTGAAACGATTTATCATTTTTCTATAAAAGCACATACCAACTTATTATAAGTCAGAATGGTTTAACTTCTTCAAAAGCTTCTTATTACCGATTTAGCACCGGTATAAGTTGTTTATCCAAACACTCAAAAGTGTTTATTGGTGTCACACAGTAATAAGTCAATAAATTGTTTTTATAAGCAATCTCAAACACCCCTATGATATATACATTAGACATTAGACCAATCGATAATTAGTTATATTTAAAATTATATTACAATATCAACCGTAATTTTATTTTCTTGTTTACATGAACTTTCCACTTTCTTTTTTGAGTTTGTTTATTTATTTTTTATATGTTATCTTTTTTATTTTATTTTGTTTAGACAAAAACACTTGGCTAGGTTATAAAATAACATAGCAATGTTTCAACCTAATCAACCCAACCAACTCGCACGATTTGGGTTAGGTTGTATTTTTTCTTGGGTTGGGTTGGGTTTGAGATTTTTCAAACCGTAAACATTAGGTTGAGTTGTTCAAATGTCTTCAACCCGACCAACCCAACCCATGTGTAAACCTAGCAGGGGCACAAAAGAAACGCTTAAGATAAATTTGTTAAAGTAAAAAATAAAATTTCATTAAAACGATAAAGTAAGGGGCCGTTTACCAAACATTTACCCGGGTAAGTGCTTACCAAGTCAAATTACCTTACCGGATGAATATGGTACGGACCAAGAATCTTAGTCGGTAAGAGCGAGACAAAGACCAATAGTCTTACCCGGTAAGTGAGAGCGACGACTCTTACCACGGTAAGTGCTTACCGTGTAAATTGTTACATGCGATGTCGTTTTGGTTGACTAAAACTTTACCCGATAAGCAAATAGTAGTGTTAAATTTTACCGATAGCACTTACCGGGTAAGTATTTGATAAACGGCCCCTGAGCTGCTTGATGTGTTTACAGTTTGGTCCTCTATCTTTATGTTTTTTTTAATTCGTGCATATTTCACAAAAACTATACCTCCATGTTTGAAAATGAACAAGTTTTAAGTTCGCCCCTTCATTTTTAAGTTTAGTACACCTTTTACCCCTTTTATTTCTCAAATCTCTCGGAACACCTCTCAATTTTTAACGGGTGCATTTTTCGTATCCTAAAAAAATTTACCTTACGGATTTAGATTAAGTAGGTGCAAAGGGTCCCACTCTCTATGTTGTAGATCTGTATGAAGTATTTGACAAAAACTCTTAAAACTCATTTTTTATGCATTAAGTATTATTTATTGATGCATGTTACTTAAAATTCAAGATCAAATAAATTGGTTGTATGTACAACTTATTAAAGCTTCATGTTTCAATTCGTATAACTAATTGTAGATAAACATAACCAAATATTGGATAAGCATATCATGTTAAATATAAAAAAATCTAAAATGTATTTTAGAATAATTATTGAATTCTAACAAAATAGTAATTATTATCTTTATAAAAGAATGATATTAAAACCAAAATTAAATCACTCCATTATTAAATCTGAATTAAATTATAATAAAAAATTGATTTAAAGAAATTACACAAAGAAACACGAACTTTTAAAAAATAAAAACATTTATCGTTTTTTCAATACCACATAAAATCGTATTATAACACCGACGGAGACAGAATAAAACAATAATTAAAATAAAGATGTATCTCGTTGTATTGTATGAATACTCTTCTAATATATTTATAAATGACTTGTAATTGTAATATTCAAATATTAATTGAATTTAATAAAAAAATTATTTAAAATATCTTAGAAATATGAGGAGAAAATATTAGTTAGAAATGGGTAGGCAGGAGTTGAGATTGCGGCGAGTTTTTAAGGGTTCAAGGCCGGCTCGAATCTCGTGCACCCGAAGTCATTCTCTTTTTAATACATCTTAGATTTTTATTTTATTTTTTTTATCAAATTAATTTATAGATTAATGTGAATATTAAAATGAACAAATTAAAGAAAAATCGACCAGTGGATATGCTCTACACACCTTATTAATTGGGTGCCCATCCAACTTAGGAGGCGTTTACTAAACACTTACTTAGTAAGTATTTATTGGACAATTTTTTTTACCGAATAAATATGGCAAGGGGTAAGAATCTTACCCGTTAAGAGCGATGATAAGAATGAAGAGTCTTACAATGTAAACAATGTGTATCAACGTCTATGCAATGGTTATCATAGTGGGTATCACAACGTTAATGATGTGAACACGTAAACAGTGGGTATCAACGTGTATACAATGAGTATCACAGTTAGTATCATAACGTTAGTGTTGTGAACACGTTGTAAATAATGGGTATCATAATGTGCATATTGTATGTATCTTGGGTATCACAGTAAAGATCGTTTGTATGTATTTTTTAAACAGTAGCGATGCTTTTAGG